GGAACGGCACAGCCGGTTACTGCAATAACCGAGGCTGTACTACTCATGTGGTACACACACAGCTTCGCTGTGTTCGCACTGCTTCTCTGTGCGACTGTGCATCCTGGGAATGTACTGTATAGTACTACGTAGCCACAGATGTACAGTAGTATATATAGGGGACCTCTGTACCCCCAATCTACAGTTCAGTTCACTCGAACATCTCCTCTCATCGCTCTAACAAGCCTCTTACAACCAACAACCCTTCTAGGTGAGTTGCAGGCTATCCGCTGTCGTTGCCACCCGTGGGAGAGGCCTTCGCCCCCCGGGTTCAACAAATGCGCTTCGTGGCTCAACTCGGGTTGAGACGGCAGATCTATGCCGGGAAGGGGGAGCATCCCTCATTCAAAAATTGATCGCAAAAGCGATTCCACCAATTGAGGGGGAGAAAGTTCCGCCACGTAATGTGCGCAAATGGACTTTCCGTGACATCGCCAGTCTACCTACGACTGAGCGAAAGGAGTGGATCACCGCATGCAATGAAGAACTAGAGGCTCTTCGTGCACGCGATGTCTATGACCTGGTCAACCGACCGAAAGGTCGTAAGGTCGTGAAAAATCGCTGGGTCTTCGACGTCAAAACTGACGGTCGAAAGAAAGCTAGACTTGTTGCGAAGGGCTTTTCCCAAGTTGAAGGCGAAGACTTCGACAAGATCTTCTCCCCAGTCGTGCGTTTTGAGACAGTTCGTCTCATCATTGCCCTAGCCGCCCTCGAGGACTGGCATATCTCCGGTCTCGATGTGCGAAGTGCCTACCTCTATGGCAAACTGGATGAAGAGATCTACATGGAACAGCCAGAGGGCTTCCGCAAACCTGGCACCGAGCATAAAGTCTTTAGACTTAAGCGTGCTCTCTACGGATTGAAACAGGCAGGATTAGCTTGGTGGCGAACACTGTCTGAATCCATGCAGTTGATGGGTTTTAAACGACTCAGCAACGATGCAGGTCTGTACATCTACAAGCGCCAATCTGATGGGCAGCTAGTAGTTGTCATCGTCTATGTAGACGACGCTCTCTTTTGTGGGAAAGACAAGAAGCTTGTAGCTCAGCTTAAAGCTCGCTTCATGCGCAAGTGGGAATGCCGCGATCTCGGCGACGCAAAGGAATTTCTGCGTATGCGAATCGTGCGCAAAGGCAGCAGTATCCACTTGGATCAATGCGCCTATTTGGAGAAAGTACTGGAACGCTGCAACATGTCAAATGCGCGACCA